GAAGCGTTACGTCATACACTATCGCAACCTGCAACAGTGCACGCGTCATGGGCTTCGCGTGTCAAAGATACACCGTGTATTGGAGTTTTCGCAATCTCCATGGCTCCGCGATTACATCGAGCTCAACACACAATTTAGAACGTTAGCCAAAAATGATTTCGAAAAAAATTTATACAAATTAATGAACAACGCGGTATTTGGCAAAACAATGGAGAATGTACGGAATCATGTCGACGTTAAACTTCTAATAAAGTGGGATGGTCGTTACGGTGCGGAGGCAATGATTTCGAAACCAAATTTTCATAGTCGCAGCATCTTTTCAGAAAATTTAATCGCCGTGGAATTGCGAAAACTCGAAGTGAAATTCAACAAGCCAATCTACGCGGGTATGTGCATCCTCGACATATCCAAGATCTGCTTGTATGAATTTCACCATGAATACATGCTGCCCCTGTACAGTGACAAGTGTAGAATCATGTATACTGATACCGACAGTCTCATATACCACGTCAAGTGCGAGGATGTATATGAGACTGTGAAACGCGATATACACAGATTCGACACGAGCGATTATCCGGTTGACAACGCGTATGGCATACCGCTTCTAAATAAGAAAGTGCCCGGTCTAATGAAGGACGAAAACAATGGCGCGATCATAATGGAATTCGTGGGACTCAGAGCGAAAATGCGTTGCGAGTCGATGGTAAGAAGGATACGAAGAAGGCGAAAGGTGTCAAAAATAATGTAGTAGCGCGAACAATATCTTTTGATGATTACACACATTGTCTGCGAGATGAGATCGAGATGACGCGTCAGCAGTCGTGTATTCGATCTAAACTGCATCAAGTTTACACTATAGCCGAGACGAAATTTGCTCTGAGTCCATACGACGACAAACGATACGTCATGCCTGACTCGACCAACACGTTACCTTGGGGACATTACCAGATACCTCTATAATATATTCACAGTTTTATTGTACATTATAGAAAAGTAATTATTACAAGTATATGTTTATTCACATGTAAAATAAATGACACAACTGTATATGTATATATGTATTTAATATATTCTTATACACGTTTAATAGAATAAATACATTCTTTAAAAATTAAAGCACATTGTTCTTGTCTATCCACGAGTTATGCGATCCAGCGAATCCCAACCATTTCACATAAACCTTGTCACCCTTCCTGCCCAGCACTTTTTCTACGAGATACACATCCGGATAAGTCGCACGATGCAACTCGTACTTGTAGAATGCTCCAGCGACGGGTTCTCCACAATTGCTCGACTTTCGCGGAGAAGAAATCACCCTCAGATTGCACGTACGCCGACGACAGCGATAACGCCCGCAAGTGTGCATGAGATGCTCGTGCTGAACGGATCGGAGCAAATTGTAAAAGATGGGCGTTTTCCAGCAAGTTACACAGACGACACAGTGTAACACTGTGTCCGACACAAAGTGTTTCAACTACGACACAGTGTCACACTGCTCGACACAGTAAAAAGCTAAGTACAAGCGTGTAAAATATCCCAGTGTAACCAATTTACAAAATTTTATATTTAAATTGTGGTATTAATGCTTTTGAACATAACCTATAAATAATATAATAGTATACGAAGATTCAAAGACGTTAGAGGTAGATCTACCGCATAAGCTTTTCCACAACGCGTTATGTTAAGTTCTGAATAAATTTAAATCCGTATAGTACGTAAACTTAGTAATTCAACGCACAAAAAATCATAACATATTATTGCGTCAGGCTTTTGCTACTTTACGATTTTCTTTGTGCATTGATTGAAGTTTAAGGTTACGAACGGTTCTGAATTTACGATGGTTACGTTTAACAGAACGTTTATTTTGCAACTGTTGGAAATTTTCTTAATTCACTCTTCGTCTCTTTCTGTTCCCTTAAAAAGAGACAAGAAGTTAGTTAAGCTAAGGTTAAAAATAAGCGACATGTACTATTCCATTAACGTAATGCCCTCTATTACGATTTTTAGAAATTAAACCTACACTTTCACCGTTCCAACAAGAATTTTACACGGTGTAACACAGTGCAATTTTGTGTGTCCTCGCTGGAAAATGCCCGATACCACCAAGCCCACGACACCGAGATTCGGTGATATCCAGTCGTCTAGTTGTTGCAAGAAGAAGAAACTCAACGCATTGAACGTGGAATTTTTAACCTCTTTGGGATTCGCAGTGCGCAAACAATGATTGACATTCTTAATATCAACGAAGAGCCATTCTTCGACGAGCGCATCGTCAAGATTGAGACTCACTCGTACAATCCGTTTGCCAACACTACATTCGGGCACAGCGATGAGATAAGAATACCAATACAACAACAGGATCTCTATACGTTGCCGCATGAAAGTTTTCTGTACATCGAGGGAAAACTAACTACTGCCAAACAAATCGAAGGATCTGATGTAGTACTGGGAAATAATTGTGTCGCGTTCATGTTCGACGAGATCCGATATGAACTTGATGGTGCGGAGATTGATCGCGCCAGAAATGTTGGAATAACCAGCACGTTCAAGACCTATGTCTCGTCATCGTTCGATGAAATGATGTCTCTGAAGAATGCCGGCTGGGATGTGGTGAACAATGGAACCGGAGACTTTAATTTTTGTGTGCCGCTCAGCATCCTATTGGGATTCTGTGAAGATTATCAACGCGTGGTGAATAACGCCCGTCACGAATTGATTTTAATACGATCGCGCAATGATAACAACTGTCTCTTTGGAAATGCAGTGATGGAGCCTAAACTTGAAATATTCAAGATCCAGTGGCGCATGCCGCATGTGTTGTTAAACGAGGTGAACAAACTGTCGATGCTGCGTGCTTTGGAAAGTGGACAATACCTCAATATGGGATTTCGTTCATGGGATCTGTACGAGTATCCGCTATTGCAACAGACGACTAAACATTCATGGGCTATTAAAACGGCTACTCAACTCGAGAAGCCGCGGTATCTTATCTTTGCTCTGCAAACAGGTCGGAAGAATATCATGTCACAGAATGTGAGCCAATTCAGTCACTGCAAATTGAGCAACGTAAAACTCTATCTGAATTCGGAATGTTATCCATACGATGATATGAATCTGGATTTCGATAAAAACAAATGGTCGAGTCTGTATGATGCGTTTTCGTGGTTCCGGAAGAGCTATTTCGGAAAGGAGGTTCTTATGCCCGGTCTCACTACCGACAATTTTCTAGAACAAGGACCGTTTGTCATTATCGATTGCTCCCGACAAAACTAGTCGGTCAAGAGCGCGACTGTGGACGTGAGATTGGAATTTGAGTGTAAGGAGAATGTGCCAGTGAATACCACTGCGTACTGTCTTATCATACATGATCGTGTGGTTCAGTACAACCCGCTGACCAGCGTCGTGCGCAAAATTCCCTAAGTACTACATTTTGGACACAATGGTTTCCCCTCTTTCCAATACAGTTTAGTGGGGATGAAACGATTTAAAATCTACTATGCATCAAGAGCAACCGCAGTATTCCTCCTTCTCTCGACGTGTTCAATCATGTCCATACCGACGTTTGTGGACCTGCAAGGCTTCGTCGTCAGCGGTAACTTTGTTGTGAAGGAATTTGCCGCTCTCCGAGAGGAACGCGTTCTCTCTCACTACATTTTCACATGTCCCGTACCATGGAGGCTTCTCACCAAAGCGGAGCAACATCAGGCATCCTGGTTGATTGCAAATCGTCATGGAGTACGATGGGAAGACGGAATGATTCCATACAGCAGGGCTAGAAGTCTGATTACAACGGCTGTGGTCGGCATGGAAGATGATGACGATCTTGAGACACGGTTTCTCGTCTACGTCAAGGGACACGAAAAACGAGAATGGCTGAAGGATATGCTCTTGGATGACGCGAGAGGAGATGTCTATATTGAAACTATTGATGTAGACTACGAGGACATACCATCTCTAAATAAATTGGATGTTGTAACGGGGGTAGCCGGGGAGGCGCGGCCGGAAACGGGAAAAACCCGCATACCACGCGCCGGTGACAAAAAACCCACATACCTCGCATTCCACGCATACCGCGAGCGAGAGAGAACACAATAGAGCCGCGGTTACCGTAACAACGCGGAGGTGGCAACGCCGCGCCTACCCCCGCCGCCTCCACCCGCTTTATACCTATGCTCCGGAGGTATAAAAGCCCCTCCGGAGCGAGCGCGATCATCTAGTCTTGCCTCGGTGCTCCGAGCGACGACACCCGGCAGCGGGTACTTCCGCTGCGGTATACGCCGGTATCACGGGTGCTGCCGTCCGGTGATATACCACTCCGGGGTACACGACAGGTGGAGGCGCTGCTCCGTCGTGTGCCCCGGACCCCTCCGCAGTAGTGTACAAGAAACGGGGTGCTGCCCGTTGTACGCAAGCTACTGATCCCCTACCGGTCTCCTATCCCTCCGCAGTAGCGTACACAGTAACGGGGTGCTGCCCGGTGTACATATGCTACTGAGAAAACACACATAACGAGGCGCTGCTCGGGCGTGTTCCTGACCTGTTCCGATCCCTTTTTTCCTGACCCCCGACCGGTGTAAAGCTCTGGGGGGTAATATTTCGGGAGGGAGAAAGATTATCTAGCCGTAAGCTCCGTAGCGTCAATACCGTCATACCTGAGGATCCCGTAATTAACGTTCTTTCCGATTGTTCCAGCATTACCAGCGTTTAGTATTAGCCTCGAATTATATTCCGATCCGTTTGCGCATAAAGCGTATCTTGTATTACTTTCCTATATTTTGTGACCCAGCGTCAGTTTTGTTTACTTCCGATTAAATCCGACCAGCCGTATCATTCTGTATTCCGTACTCCGATCCGGCCGCCACTCCCGTACTCTGTTATCAATCCGGCCAATTATATTTTGTATCCCGGTATCTCAATTCCCGTCGCGTACTCCTGTACCGTAATTTAATCCGTCTAATTACACTTTCTTTTCCATTATATTTTGACACAGGACGTACCCATTGTACCTATTAATCCGTCTTCTTTCTTTCTGTATTTAATCACAGGGCGGACCCATTATAATATCCTCGATCCTATGTATTACATCCGTTGAATAAACCTTTCCTATTGTTATACCGAAAAAACCTGTACGACTTATTTCCGAATCCCTTCCAAGCGACTGACTCTATTAAGCAAATTAAGATCTACTTTGCCTCCTTTCCTCCCGACGGCCCTGGAGCTGAGCATATTCGGCAACAGGAGGAACGGAGGATCCATTCACTCGAGCCGACACACAGCACGTCAAATACCGACCGCGTGAACGCTAGCTCCTCCAACCGTCAATCGGAACCGCGTGTCCGATTGAGTACCTATTTATTCGAGTAATAAATAATTCCTGCCGGAATCCTGTCCGGAAACCGGGAGGAGCTGGGCCGACACGTTCGTTGCAATGTTACACATACTTTTCACTGCCAGAAAGATGTAACAAATTGCGCTTTACAAAATGTTTTGAAACTTTACAATTGGTGGTCTAACCATAAAAATATGTAACAACATGTGTTAAGAAGTGTATTCAATTACTGTAAGCAAAATAAATACATATATACATACAGGGTGGGCCAAAAGTCTGGATACACCCTAATATCTCATAAACTATGCACTTTAGAAAAATATGTTTCAGACAAAAGTTATACGGTTTTAAAAGGGCTATATAATGGTAAACTAAATTTTCGAAAAAATTAATTTTTTATGGTTATATAGAGGTCGCCGTCATTTTTTAAAAAT